CACAGTCTCTATGCGCAGGGCAGCCAGTCGCATTACCGTCCCATGTAATTTGAGATAGGTAATACTGATGGTATCATGTCAACGCTGCATACAGTGGATGCAGCTGGCAAGTTTATCCCATTCTTTCTTAGAATCACCCCATTATTTAAACTGACAATGAATGCTATTTAAAAGCCGGGACATGTTGAATGCTGATTCTTCTCACAGGCATTAACAGAGGTGCAGGTGACTTCCCTGCCACTATCAAGGAGGGATCAGTATTTGCATATTCTCAACTCTGCTCATAACTTTGTTTTTCAAAGTGTGTCATTTTCTTATGAATGTCAGGTTGCCCTACTGAGTTCTTGGAGGGATCAGTTACTCAAAATACCCTTCTAATTATTTGATCACATTAAATAACAAAGCTGATAAGATCTGTTATTTGACAATCATTGTTTACAGTGATAGAGCTGTAGGGGAGCTCCCTGTCACTGGTCTGCCCTGTTACAGTAAACTGTTACCTGCACCTCTGTCACTGTGGACCACTACCGTAATAGTAATACAAAAAGGTAATTTTACATAATAAAACCAACACTATTTAATATACCTTGTTTATGCAAAGTTTATTAAAACCACAGCAATCTAAAAAACGTGCAGTTATACAACTTCCACCCAAAACATACCTAAATATCTGCCCATGTAATGCTGTCAGTGTGTTGAATCATAGGAAATGTTTGTCTGTGAAAGTACTGATTTATCCAGGTCATGGTATGCTAGTTGATGTTGGTCACATTCAACTGAACTTGTTCCGTAATGTCGAAGACATTTTGTAGCTAAACTAAGCCACTAATGACCACATGGACATGGATAGAAAGAAGTTTCCCTTCCTAGTAGGTGCTTGTAATAATGCCTACCCATTATGACCCCTCATGCCAGAGCCTTCTTCCCCCTATTGACTAGTGAATGTTCTTGGGATTGATTTGCAGGTCGTTTGGTGCACTTGTCCAAAAAAATTGCAAATTGTAACGTTGCAAAGTTAGTGTGAACCCTATAGAAGCACATGGTAGGTGAATCTTGATCTGGCCCTTTCCTGCCAGATTTTTAAGGCTAATAGCCAATGGACTGCGAAACAAAGGAAATTAGAAACTGATGCAAAAAAAAAACTGGAAAAAAAATATGGGACCCCCGAAATCCATATCAGGCCCTTATCCAGGCATGAAGTCTCACCACTGCTTTTCACTCCCTTGAGGAGGCCTTGCCTGGGACACTGTAAAGAAGGGACATAAAGAAGGAAGAGGTGGGAGGCCAGGGCAGCAGCAGGACAGCAGTGGGCCTGTATGACTAGAGGAGAAGAAGAGCAGAGACCAAGGGTGAGACAGGAAAACAAGCAAGCTGTGTGTAGGAGGGGTTGTGCATTTTGGTATCTTTGCCCTGGGCAGTGAATGACCTTGTTGCGGCACTGCTTTTAACAAACAACTATTTTTGTGAATAGGCCCTGAGCTGATGATGGGGTTACCACACGACAAATTTTAAACTAGACAGTGTAGATTTTATGACCTCATTTCTTATCTGCTATGCAGGGTATCCAGTTCAGGCACTCTGAAAACCAACCCGTAACTTTCCATAGTGTGGAAACTGTTTTTCACACAAGTTGACTAACATGGAAATTCATTTATTTTATTACTGAAGAAATGAATAAAGAATTGTATTAAATAAAAATTCTATGCACTTTGCTAGTACTATGACCAATTCTTACACTTCCTTTGCATGTGCATTTTTAACTTCAAATACTCGACAATGCGTTCTGGATTTTTATAATTAACATGATAATGATTCTGCAAGTTCCAGTGGCAGGCCTGCAAAGACAGGTGTATTGCAGAGCAACATATTTTACAGGTTTAATAAATACTGCAGGTCCCAGCATACATGCTACGAGGTAGAGTTCAGGGACTCTTTAAGATCATCATGCCACTATGAAACAAATCTCATTTGTGAGTGATCATTTCCTCATAACTATGTAGTGATGCACTGTAACGTGTTGCAATGCATTGCAACGCAGTATGTTCCATTTTCACCCAGCAATGCTGATAGGCTCAGTTGGTGCAAACTGAGTGTGCTGGAAAGAATGGATTTTAGCTAAGCAATGTAGACCAACACGCACGGGGTAAATGGGCCCTTGGGGACTGCAAACCACTACTTCCCCATTATATCAAATCTCGTAAATTGGTACATGAATTTAAATTATCTGGGAATAAATATGGTGAATGTTGCTCCAATCCACCTAATATGTTAATCACAACCAGGTGTTGATTGCATTTGCATAATTGGAGGTAGTAGGTGTTATTAACCTGCCCAGAGAGAGGTGTTAAAACAGCATTGTATGTGGCAGACAATAGATGTAGCAGAACTGAACTTAACCCAGGTCAAGTGTGTGCCTTATTGAACCTTTGCCATTCAAATAAATACCAATGCAATGCACCTGCCACACTGTAATGCATGGTAGGTGTGTTGTGCAGTGCCATGCATTATTCGCACTGAACCGTGCAATTAACGCATGATATTGGCGTCAGTGGGCCCTAAATTAATTCTATTTGCTACAGAAAGGAATAAGTATTTTGGACCATACTTATAGCTTATTTTTCACTGGTCACCGCTCCCTGCAGGAAGTCCCTTCTCTCCTCTCTCTGCTTCTCCAGTGCTCACTGGAGAGACAGACGGGGAGGGGGCAGGCACAGCTGGTTTTGGTTTTAAATGGGAAGAGCCAGCTGTCAAACAGGCAGCCATGTGGATTACAGTATTGTCTGGATGCTTCCCAGCTGCAGAGCAAATACTGGGCAGTAGTCCCCTATATGCTGACTTTGGGTCACAGGAGTACATTAGCAAATGTACTCTTTTGAACCAAAAGAGGACAAGAGCAAAAAAAGGTTTGGCCTTAGGTCTCTTTCAATCTATATATGACTTCAGTACACAAAGTTATTCCATGTTTTCATGCATAGAAACCAAGGAATGTCTCTCTGATTCTAGTATTTTGTTTATTCACGCTTATAACTTGGACGGGTATGAAGGAGTGAAATGAAGAGAAAAGTCTGTTTGTTGAGATACAGAAATAAAAATGTGTAATTGAATTCATTTTTGTTTGTTTTTTGCTTGGTTTTTTTTTCCAGTGCATTTTGTTTGGCCAAGATTCACTAGAACAGTGACGCCCTCCTTTAGTGCCTCCAAACCAGTTTTCTGTTCACTCATGTAAATGTAACAGCTAGAGAAAATCTTCATTCATATTCAATGGCAGCCATTTGTGAGGCAAGTTTCATAGCTCTTTACTTTGCTATAGTTATTTTTGAACATTACCTTTATGTTATGCCATCCCCTAAATCTATGCTGAATTTTATCTCTACCCATATTGATTGTAACCTTGATAGCTTCTGGAATGTACCACATGACATTCTAGGAACTTGCACACTATCAACGAGGGCTTAAAGGAAACCTGTACTAAAGTGGATGATATTGTGGGTAGACAGCTTATAGTAGTTGTGTGCAGTCACCATGGCTTTGCCTATGTGTGTCTGGATGTGATTCTTATTAATGCCCTTATGACACAACAGTATGCTTGGTATTAAACAGTGATGGCTTTAAATAATAACACAAATAAAAGGCTGGGTAGACTCATAAACTAAATATTGCATACCCACAGCTTCCACTTATGATGATACAATAAACAAATAGTCTATGTGTCATGTAATTATGGGATATACGGACTGGTTATTGTTAAGTTTTCACATTCCACCCTTTATAGTCACAGTCACCTATATGTTTAAAGTAGTGCACTAGGACACTTATAAATTTAATTTAATCAGTGCTACATTCACAAAGTGGTCAGCATTTCCTGATCAACTCTCAACATTTTATAAAATCTTCTTTTGAAACTATGCTTGCCAGACAGTAATACAAATCTAACAATAGTGCAAAAACCTATAAAAGAAACAAGCACTATAGCACTATAATCTAAGTGGTATTTAATCTTGAAATAGATGCATCCACTTACATCTAATTTCAATCTCCCCATTCTAACTGAAGGAACTTTTTTACATACCTTTTTTTACAGGTGTCTTTGGTCCAGTTGCTAAGCATCATGGGTGCCTTTCGTTTTCTGTGAGTGTATCCTGAATACCATCTTAATGACGTGGAGCCACTCTCTAAAGCAATATCATGTAAGACCAGAGCAGGCTGACGGCTTCCCTGCCAGGCTGGGTAATAGGTTAAGTGACACTGGGCATCATTCCACGTTGAGGGACGCCATATATTATATGCTTATATTATTTTAGCAATAGCAGGGCTTTTTTTTGAAGGATGAGGGCGTTGGGAAAAATGCTGCAGAGAGTAGCTCCACATTATTGTTATGCTGAATAAGGATCCTAATAAATCTTATTCAAATGCTGCTGGAAAATACCCAATGTTTTCCGGTATGGGGAAGAATGCTATCATCTCACCTGATGCAGTGTTCAGACTGTATAAATATATACATGATCTATATAGTGAGTTTGGTGCCAAATTATTTACTTTAAGGTCTCTGCAAAGGACAAGGGACTCCAGACTCTTTGCGTCTGGAGGAAAAGAGGTTTAACCTTTGCATATGGAAAGGATTCTTCACAGTTAGAGCTGTGAAAATGTGGAATAGACTCCCCGAGGAGTTCTGGTTCTAGTTAGTTCAGTTAACTGTTTAAAAAAAAATCTGGATGAATTCCTAAATGCTCAGAATATTACTGGATATTGAGTTCTTATACTGTAGGCATATTAAGCACCAGAGATTGTTGATCCAGGGAATATGTTTATGAGTACCTTCAGAAGCATTACATTTGGTCCTGGAAGGTTAACGTTGGGGAATTCCTACAAAGCTTGTTTTCTTCTTTTTAATTCCAATGTGCCCTTTCTTGTTCTTAAGTATATAACTTGAAAAAGTTGATCTCTTAGTTTTTACTCCACCTTCAGGTAATGTTGATGACACACCCAGGTATGCTATTCGAGTCAGCATTAAGCTGAAACAAGGCATGGATGATGATTTGAGACTATGTAGTCTGAAAGAGAGCAGTAACTGCATGGAGTCTTAAGTCCCTGGTAAGTGGTTTGTCTTTTTGCGTAAATGACAGGTATTTAGAATTAGAATTTTTGTAGTCCAGCCATTTGTGTAGCCTCAATAGATCATGAAGCTGAGACTGCAACCTGTAAATCTAAGAAAACTGTTTAAGTATTGTAAGCATACCTATACATATAATGGTACTATGAGTGATCTAATTGTAAGGATCTAATTGTATTTTGTTTTTATGTCTTTATATAACTATCTGCAATGTTTATGTCAATGTGGAAATGGAGCGCGCAGTCTTATACATACCTAAAATATTTGCTGAAAAATCTGCATTAGTAAGCTTAAATAAGTGTGTACTGTAGTGATCTTTACTGAACTGTATATCCTCCTCTGCTACAAAGGTCTGATCGTTTAAAGAGAAAATACATTACATTATAGCATGAATAACTTGATTTTCTGTTATCTTGCTATGTGTTCTTTTCCACAACTGTCATCAAATCCATATCCAGTGAACTTAATCTTATTAAAAAAAACATTACTTACTAGGAAAAATGTTTCCATGGCATGTCTTGTAAATGTTGTGTTCAACAGGGGTCTATTTTATAAATGTCTTCACACAACTTTTACAATTAGAAAACATTGTAAATCTGAAATGAAAGCTGTATGAAAACGTTTATAAATAGACTGCTCGTTGCACATAGAGCACACCTATTTATATCTAATGCTTGAGCTAAGGGTGAAATATTAGTGTGGCTTTGCCAATAGCAACTAGACATTTGCTTCCAGAATGTTTATTCTTGCTCATATAAGGAATTATAAAGCTTGTTTAAGAAATTATAAAATCTCAATTGCTGCTGAAGTTTGTAACATTTTTATGATATATGCAGGTATTATTGACCAGCTTTATTTTCTTCTGAGTAATAACATAATGGTTAAATATAATCATTAGATTGACTGATAGCAGGAATACATTTAGCTGGTGAATATGTCAGGGAGAATATTTTTGTGCTATCGACATACAAATAGTGCCCACCAATGCTAACATGCACTTTTGGTGGGCACAGCGGACAGACAAATTACTATCTGCAAAATCCTAGTGTAGACTTGTTTGGCCCATTCACTGTGAAGGGGAATAGGTCCCCTTTATCTGCTGGTAGACATTGAAGTGACACTAAACTCAGCAGTTAAATCAATTCAAGCACCTTACCTGTTCACAAAAATATTACCTGTGTAGATGCTCAAACGATCTCTGAATTGGTGCTGACACCGTCCTTCCTTCTGGAACTTTTGTTCCTCATGGTCCCTGTGTGTTGGTAAAGTAGCCACCGCTCCTTTAATTTGATAGTTACCTCGTTTCTCAAGACTGCTAGCCCCCCCCCTCCCCCCCCCCCACCCTGTACGGGTGCCTCCATTAGCTAGCTGACTGCTGTGGAGGCACCCGTATGTGTACACTCACGTCCGCGCCTGCACCTAGCTTAAGGTTTAACTTCTGACTTTAGTATCAGTTTAAATCACATTGGTTCAAGCAATGTACATTGAGCTTAGGCACAAGCAATATTAACACTTAAACTAGTGGCTTCTTGGGTGCTGCCCCTGCTTGCCGAACCTTGCACCAGACCAGTGTGAAACAATAGGGGCACTGTCCTAAAGAAAAATAAACTTAGCAGCTAATCGGGCTAAAGTAAGTAATACTAATCATATAATGCAACTTTGTTAAAGACCCAGGTAGAGAAAGAGTGGAATTGATTTCCTGCAGGGTGTGAAGGAATGATACACCAAGGAAAGTCCTGTAGAGAATGAAAACCTATTGTACATTGCATTGTTTTTCATGAAGGCACAAAAACATATTCAATAACATAGTGAAAGGACAACCGTGTGCACTAGGGTGTGACAACAAATCAGAAGCAATCTTCTAGCAGCTTAAAAATTAATTAAAGCTGATCTATGCATTACTGTTAGTAGTAGGGATGCATCGATACTGATACTAGTATAGGTATCGGTGCAGATGCCGAGTATTTGGGCGAGTACTCATACTCGCCAAAATGCTCTGATGCCTAGCCTGATACCTGAGCTTCCGATATCAGGGAGCCAGGCAGCAAGTCATTACACACGGCCTGGCTTCCTGATTGGCCAGGAAGCTGGCTCCATGCTCATTTCGTGACGAGGGAGCATGGAGCCGGCTCCCCGGCCAATCAGGAAACTGGGCAGAGTGTAATGACTCGCCGCCTAGCTTCCTGATTGATCGGGAAGCCGGCCAATCAAGAAGCCAGATGGTGAGTCATTACCTGCCCCCCGGCTTTCAGATTGGCAAGTAAGCCAGCTTCATGCTCCCTTGTCACTTGGTGATGAGGGAGCATGGAGCCAGCTTCCTGGCCAATCAGGAAGCCGCGCACCTTGTAATGGCTTGTTGCCCGGCTTCCTGATTGGCCAGCTTCTTGACCAATCAGGCTGGGCAACGAGTCATTACACGGTGCCCAGCTTCCTGATTGACCAGAAAGCCGGCTCCATGCTTCCTCGTCCCTTAGTGACAAGGGAGCATGGAGATGGCTTAACTGCTAATCGGAAATCCGGGAGGCAAGTCTTTGCAAGCCGCCCAGCTTCCCGGCTTGTATATCAAGGCAACATTTTTCAGAAATGTTTGCTTGTCTTGCAAAACACTCTCAAACCAAGTTACTTGTAAACCAAGGTATTACTGTAGATCATATTACTGGAATAAAGTGCATTATCTGCTTTTGTCTGCATCAGGATTGCACATTAACAAAGTGTTGGTATAAATAAATGTTAGTGTTTTATCTCTAATTGCATAATAACATTTCTCATGGCTATGATTCTGCTAGATTGTCCACACGTCCATATGATGGCCTGATAAAACCTGTTCAGTCCTTCCTGGGTGAGTTGTATAGTTTATTCCAGTGTGTCTCAGAACCGCAAAATATATGTAGACATCTCCCCATGCATCATTTCCAGGGGGACATGTTTCCATCTATATCTAGTGCTTGTCTTTTATCATCAGTCTTAGACTTTTATGAGAATATGCCCCTTTTAGGCACCTTTCACACTGGCTGATCAGGACGTGATCCATGCATAATGTGAAATCCATGCCGTCCAGTTTTTTTTCCTCCATCTTGCGATTATTTCAGATTACCCCCAATTGGGCACAATCGGGTCTGGCGAAACAGAACTGTTTCTTTTTCTGGACCTGGCCAGAGTTGGGGGTAACGTGGTGTAAACGGACGGCTATCAGTTTAGATCCATCTGCTATAGACTAGTATTGGGCATCCAATCTGGTCTGCCTGAAAAAACAGACAGGCGGACCCAATCAGACCGCCCATGTGAAAGGGGCTTTAGGTTAGCAGGTTAGCAAACCAATAATATTTTTTGGGACTGTCCTAAGTTGAAAAAATTCTCAAATCATGTAAGAATTATTCTAATGAAAATTCTTTATTAATCTGATTAAATGTGAACAAATGAAACCATAACAGTTTTGTTTAGTAAAACATTTGTGTGACTCTTTTAGGTAATGTTACTCCTTTTTAGTTCGTCTTTGATTATTTTTGTATTGATACCATTTGTGGAAAATAATTGCCTGCAGAGAAAGTTTTTAAAGCAAGTGTGTAAATGATTTTCACAACATCTCCCATAATTACTGATTGCCAGTAACTGTTTTATACCCAGAATGCGGCAGCCATTTACCCTATGAATAAATGCAAATAACGTTTGTTTATGGTGAAGTTTAACAGAAAATTAATTATTCCTTCATTTTGCATTATAGATAAATACAATTATTATGCAAGGACATTCTCCTATGCAATGAATATATATAACATTCCAGCATAGCACTGTGTGTATTTACATTCGCAATACATGTGTGTTCACATTCCATTTCAGTCATTTAACTTTCAGTACATTCAGTACATGTGAACATATCATGCTGGAGTGCCGTCCATCCGTTTTTTTACAACGGGCGGACGGCAAGTGGTTAAACTAGCAGCAATGGGTAACCTGTGTATATGCACTGATGTTTGTTCATAGGCGTGCACATTACCCTGAACGCAGCACTGAAACCGCAAGAGCAGGTACCATGTTTTTAGTCACTGAGCCAGTGGATAGATAGATCACAAAGATCTCTCTGTGACCAGCTCAGTGATACAGAGCACAGCAGCAATTGCCACTTACATTCCTCACACAACAGCTGATGTCCTCGGTGCCTAGGAAGCTGTGAGGGAGCGTGGCTGTGGATGCACAGGCTTCCCATCCGATCAGGAATCTGGGTGGGTGATCACATTCCATAATTCTGGACTTTCAGCGTGTTTAACCATCTCCAGAGTTCCCAACTCTCCCGGACGTTCCGGGAGTCTCCCGCTATTAGATAGCGGCTCCCGGACGCCCGCAAGAGAGACATTTTATCCCGGAAAGGATTGAAACCTTTCCGAGTCTGCTGCGCTCACTAGTTCTGATGAGTATGAATAAAGTTTTTAGTTGTAAGGGGAAAAAAAAGTTTGTGCCTTAAAGGGGTTTAGGCACGGCTGGGCGGCCTGTGATTGGCTGGAGACAAAGGTCCCTACGCTAGCTCTGCAGACACCTTGTGATGTGAATGACAGTGCCGGGGGCAGCTGATTGAAGACGCCTGTGGAGGGGGCAGGGAGGGTGAGTGGCACACTTCCTAATATTGGCTGAGCTGTGGAGGGGAGCTCCCTGCGCTACAATTCATCTCACACAAAGAGCACAGCCGCCTTTGTAGATCCCAGCTGCAAATAGGAAAACCTGGAATAACCTGAAAAGCCAGGTTCTTCCTTATAACATGCTTTACTTTCTGGACCCTCTCAGCCCCTTTGGCTGAGAGTCCTGGGTGCCAAGGTCGCCATCCTCCACCGTGGCATTGGCTTACACTGCCACAATACACACATATATACTTAGTAGATATCACAGCATTTTATTGTTATTATATTAATTTGTTGTGTTATTATTAATGTTTTTATTTGTATTTTATTTGTGATTATTAACATGATATGCTGCTGCTGTCAATCAGCAGAGGTGGGCCTGAGGTGCTCGTCTGCTGATTGACAGCAGCAGTGGGTGGGTACAAGAGCGAGCCTGCTATTGGCTATTGCAATTTGAAAGGACCAATAGCAGCCTAGCTATTCATTCCCCTGCTATTTAGTTTTTTTCTTTTTATATTCTGAAGGTGGCCGACGGCCACTGTCAAAATAAAAAAAAAAAGAGAAGGTACCTCCCTGAAATGAGAAGGGCACCTCCCTGAAATAAGGTTTTGCAGGTTGGGATGTCTGCATCTCCCTACTGCTGTATTTTTAAAAAATGCCAGGAAGGGGGATCTGTTTTTCTGGAACACCATTTATAAAAGTATTTAAAGTGAACATTCAGTTTGCTAAGTGAATGGCCTCTACTGCCAAAGTAAATCACCCCATTGACTTTGAAGGATAACAGGGTAGACTGCAATCACAAATAACTGTCTGTGAGATGACTGTCACGTTTTCACCAGGAGCCAGTCCACAGCTACCCATTGTTAATTACATAGCTATGGCAAACACCATTACAGTCTCTCAGTTATACTACAGAATAACTATATCATAATATAAATATTATAGCTTTCAAAAGTAAAAATTATTACAATATATAATGCACATGATTTCAAACAATATCAAATGTATTCAAATAATATTCAGTGTTTATATTTAAGATTCAGTTTAGAAATCCAGAAATCAGCAAAGTATAAAATATATTTTTTTAACAATAAATTGTTTATCTTGTTTTTTATTTTTATTGACTAAACCGAAAATCATATTTTCTTCAATAGGACCCTTAGCGCAACCAAAGGAGCAGCCATGAACTGGGGTGTGTATGAAGCTCTGCTGACAGGTGTCAATAAATTCTCCACTGAATTTGGTAGACTTTGGCTTTCCATTGTTTTTATATTTCGCATCTTGGTATATGGACTAACTGCAAACCGCGTCTGGGGAGATGACCAAAAAGACTTTGACTGTAACACTCGGCAGCCAGGGTGTTCTAATGTCTGCTATGACCATTACTTTCCTGTGTCCCACATTCGGCTGTGGGCTTTACAGCTCATCCTGGTCACCTGCCCTTCTCTTCTTGTTGTGATGCATGTTGCTTATCGAGAGAACCGAGAGAGGAAATACAGTGAGAGATTGGGGGAGAAATATGAGAAGCTCTACAAAGACATCAGCAAAAAGAGAGGGGGCCTATGGTGGACCTATCTCTTGAGTCTTCTAGTCAAAGCTGCTGTGGACATAACTTTTATTTTTATTTTTCATCGACTCTATGAAAATTTTTTTCTTCCTCGAGTAGTAAAATGCACACTTAGTCCGTGTCCCAACACAGTAGACTGCTTCATCTCCAGACCATCTGAAAAGAACATCTTCACTCTATTTATGATCATTACTTCTGCTGTGTGTGTCCTTCTGAACTTTGTGGAAGCTTCATATCTTGTAGGGAAAAAATGTAGAGAGACCATGCAAGCCAGAAAAAAGAAAGTTTTGGGAGAGACATGCTCTGATCACTGTGTCAGTGTTCGTAATGAACAACCATGCACAGATAAAAATTGTAAGACCAAGAGTATAATTTCCTAAATATACCATGGCAATAAGAACAAACATGGCGCTCAGTGTACATGAACATTATCAACCAACAGTTCTTACATTTCATGGTTTGAATTCAGTATACAAGATATCTAGAAACTTTTTTTGCACATTTTATATAGCTTTGCATATTTATGAGATTTCACAGAATGAAATGTTACATTTTTAATGAGTTATTTTACATAAATGTTTATGTTAAACTGCTTAGAATTGTTAGAAAACAGGAGCTCTCAAGACACGCATACCTTTAGCAGCTTCTTAGACCCTGCTTAAAGTAGATCTAAACCATAACTGGATGACATTAGGTTTGCTTAACTGCTTTGTATCATAAACCATTGCAATGTTGTTTTTTACCTACTGTTTATAGCTTTTTTGTACCCTTTTCCATCTTGTTGTTGCTGATCTTTCAGCCACTTCCTATCTACATGCAATTTTCCACTATCAGCTGCACTTCATTGCTCGGGACACATTTCCTAATTGTGACAATGATGGGCCCTGCCGGCACAATATGCATCAGTGCGGTGCTTGTGGTCTCCATAACAGGCAAATGTGAAAGGGTGACAAAGCAGGAGAATAATTTAGAGGTTATATTCTATAACAAGAAGTGCCCAAACAATTACATTCATAGTAGGATCACCAGGTATTATTATAACGAAATCCATTGACCTCCTGCTTTCCAGCTCCCTTGTCCACTTCCCCCATACTCGCCTCCAGGACTTCTCTAGAGTCTCTCCCATCCTCTGGAACTCCTTACCCCAACCTGTCTGTCTATCTCCCACCTTGATTGCCTTTAGGCGTTCCCTAAAGACTCATCTCTTCAGGGAAGCCTATCCCACCTCAACCTAACCACTGAACCTTCACATTCTCACATAATTCATTCCCACAGCTACCTCATGTATCATTTCCCCCTCCTCTTTTAGATTGTAAGCCCTCAGGGGCAGGGCCCTCCTTACCATCTTGTCTCGAATTGTATTGTAACTGTAATGTCTTCCTTATATTGTAAAGCGCTGCACAAACTGTTGGCGCTATATAAATACTATGTAATAATAATAATAATAATAATGAAAGCTACGTATTTAAAAAGATTGGAAACTTTTTATTTAAATTTGTATGTTAACACTCATATGAGAGTTTAGTGATTGAGTAGAGAACTAGTGTACTAGTGTATTCAAAACAAACACTTGAAAAACAGTACAAAGGTCGTATAGACCATTAGTAAACCTTGTATGTTAACACTATGTTAAAAAGGAAGAAAATACCCTTATTATGATTTTTTTAGTGCCAGTTATGCGACTGGCGAGTTAAGCTCGCCCACAGCTGGGAGGGCTGGGGCGGAGACTGCAACAGACACTTGGTTTCCATCCACTTCAAAGTGTGGAGGGCAGGATAGGAGGCATTGCAGCTGAGATCTGACATTGGGACTACAGGCACGCTATGTATCAGCACAACATCCTGTAGCTCTCCAGTCAGATGAAGAGACGCAAACTGACCACACTAGGACAGATCTGCTTCTATGCCTAGTGTGGCCAGAAACAAACAGGAAGGGGCTGTTTCCTGAGAGGACTTGCAGAATTACTAGATTTTTATAACTGCTGCACATCACTTAGAGAATGCAGATATTCCTTACAGATTGCAGAGGGACTAAGGGAATAGGTGACCTACTTCTCAAATTATGGTTAACATACATTAAAAAACACATGTGGCAAGAATGCATGTTTCCCACAAGTTATACAGTAGATTAGTAAAGAATTTAACAAGTCATCTAAATTTGCATATTCAGGGATCTCAAGTCTCCCTGATGTTCAGGGAGTCTCCCTCTAAAAGATAGCGGCTCCCTGATGTCCGCAAGAGAGGCATTTTCTCTCTGAAAGGTTTACTCTGAGTAAACCTTTCCGGTAAGATATCAGTGGGTAAAGTTTCAGAGTGAGGCGTGCCTCCTGGAGGAAGGTCATGTGATCTCTAGAGTAGCCTCAGAAGGAAGAAGCTACTTGCTGCACAGAGAGGGTGGACATAGACTACTATTGAGAGCAGGTACAGGCACTGAGATCTACTGCTGCAGGGTTGAGAGAGTGCTGTTAACCCTTTGTGGATAATATAGAATCAATTATATGTCCTGGTTGTCTAGTTATAGAGAACAATTATTTAATTTGCTGCCCATAGCAACTAGTCAACTGTGTATCAGGGACTTTACTCCTCAGCGGTTTTTTAAAAAGGTCTTAGGCTGCCTAATAAATTGTGACCTTTACACTGACAGATACTTGAACATAAAATCACAAAGTAAAGTGCACAAAATGTTAAAGGACTTTGTAAAATGACAGTGTACAGGTGCGCAAAAGCCATTGTGCAACTACCACTTCTCTAACCAGTAAGTACACTTACAGTCTACAGACAGTTTTAGATGTTGTCTACACAGGCATTTGTTCATAGTAGGGATGCACCGATACAAACACTAGTATCGATATCGGTGCCGATACCGAGTATTTGGGCGAGTACGAGTACTCGCCCAAATGCTCCGAATCCTAGCCCGATACTTCCTGTATCAGAAAGCCGGGCACCGCGTCATTACATGGAGCCCGGCTTCCATGATTGGCCAGCAAGACGGCTCCGTCTGGGTACCGGAGGAAGGCCACTCCTAGTTGGAGAGGCCCCGGGGGTGAGAAGGCTGGACATGCGGAGGCAAGAGGGGACAGAGATCCGCACTGAGTGATTCGTATGGGATGGCTTTCTTGTTAATCGGGAAGCCGGGTGGCAAGTCTTTACATGCTGCCCGGCTTTCCGGCTAATCAGGAAGCCAGGTGGCGAGTCATTACACGCCACCTGGCTTCCTGAATGGGACTTCCGTTACAAGGTAATTGGTATCGGCGAGTACTGAAAAAAAATTATCGGTACTCGGTACCAAAATACTAGTAACGGTGCATCCCTTGTTCACAGAGCTACGGTAGTTTTCTCCACATTCAAGACAATAAAGAGCAGAAACTGCTTGAAGGGGCTTAATGCAGCTTGATTCAACTTAGAAGGAGGTCAGAAAACCTGTGAATGAACTCTAATACAATTCAGAAGAATCTCAACCTAATCTAAAATGCAAGCTGATCACATTTGAAAGCATGTTTCATTTAGCTGTCTACAAAAGCCCTATACAGGAGAACTATGGGGAGGGTGAAATGCACTCTTAGTTAGAGCTGATGTGTGACACTGCAGCTGTGACACTGCAGCTGTGACACTCTCCAGTGCTCACTGGAGGGACAGACAGGGGAGGGGGTGGGCACAGCTGGCTCTTGCTCTAGAGAGGCAGAACCAGCTGTCAATCAGGTAGTGGGGTGGATCCCGACAATATTGTGGGGATCTTTCCTGGCAGAATGCGGCTCTGCGCTGTCAGCATATGGCGGGCCCACTATATGCTGAGTTTTGGGTCACAGAGGGACATGGTAAATGTCCATCTGTGACCGAAAAGAGAACTAATGCCATAAAAGGTTTAGCCATAGTTCTCTTTTATTCTCCTATTTTAATAGCACCGAAGCAGCCCAGTACCATTACATTTCCCTCTCTGCTGCTCTGCTGCATGATGAAATTTACACCATCAAGCTCTGATCAGAGTGGGATGGTTGATGTAAAATAGTGATAACCTTTCTAATTCATCATTTTTAGTACTTTGGGTAAGGGCTTGTGATCACATCAGAACTACCTTTCTCCCCATAAAAGTAATAGGACGGCAAAAGCAATCCGCTTCAGGTTAGAAAATGGTCAGCAGCCAGTAACAAGGAGGTCACAGCAAAAGTAAAGCAAATTAGAAGGATCTGAGAAGCATCTAATACTGTTAATGATTGTTAACTGTAAGCTGAATGCGTCTAAGGTATGCTGCATTTGCCCACCTACACAAGCTCTTATGCTTCTACATTAGTGTTTTTGAAATTGATCTCCTCACACTTCGCTATATATGTCTGTAGTATTCACATTATATCTAGTGCTGCCCAGTTTACAATACAAACTCTGCTCACCAGTTTGTCTTTTGCTATACCTACATAATGTATAACAACAAGGTTTCATTGTGTGTCACCCATTTCAATAGGTTTCAGAGGAAGGGAGAGTGTTGGAAATTACACATTAGGGCTAGTTCACGCCTTTCATGCGTTTAGCCTAAAGCATAGGTGTGAACCTCAGGATTCCTTCCTTCTAACCGGTTGCTTTAGAATACAGTATTAGAATACAGTACTACTTCAAAGACTTTGCATTGAAACTGAGAAATTCATAGAAGTGCCTGGCACCTATTATATGTATTCAGTTTAAAATAACCAACATGTTGAAAATGGCATATGAAGTCCATGCCAAAGGATTTATATTTCTGTCCATAGATTTCTGAGATTCTCAGAACACTGCCACACAACACAGCCCTGTCTAGCTGTTTTTACAGCAGTAAAGTAACACTTGTCTTATCCATCCCCTAGTTGGTAACTGGGGGAATAAAAGTAGAAGCAGCCGAATTGATGAGTTCATCCCTATGTCACTCTGCTCTGTCCTCCTATCAGCATGCTTCTTGTTGAAACATGATCACTGGAGTATACCTGATTAGCTTCATATGTTACTTTGCTCTCTCCCAGTCTGAGCTCTGTAGTATAGGGGATTGCAAGAGACGGATACCAAATCAATTTGAGATACTTATACTGTATTACTTGTATTAAAGAAAATATTCTTAATATTATTATAATATAAAGTAAAGAATTAAATATTATATTTAATGATGTATTAATGACTGTAGAACTGCATTGGTGTGTGTCTTTTTATATCTCCCTGGAGTTTAGCTGTAAGTTGGAGGGGGAGTTCAGCAGACTAGGCTACATTATTAGATGCTTATAAAATGCACTAGACTGTTTTTGGAGGAGAAGTGTAACAGAGAGCAGTAAACAATGAGCTTTAGTACCTTTAAGGTAGAAGTTCACTATTGAGCAGCACAGCGTGGGGGTAACACATGTTAATGCACAATACATGCCATTAAT